ATTTATGCCTACAAATGAAACGATGAGCTTAATACCACACAATTATCTCGAACCAAAACAAAAATAATACAATATGGCTCATTAAACTAGAAACGTAGTAACTTTTGTGAAATTAAGTGTGCCATAAAGTGTGCTCTTTGGAACCAATGAATGTCGTTGCATGAATGCATGCCTCTAATTTGCCACTCTACACGTTACATTCTCTAGTATTGATATCCACCTCATGTATTTCATGGCTCCTTTCAATCTCAACTTCATAAAGTGTTGACGGTCTTACCACTAAAATCTTCTTTTTTAGTCAATATTTCTCTCAAATTTGTCCTTGACATATGGAACTAACTCAATCTTCCAGTTGTTTGTAATTATCTCTCTCTACCCTTACTTTCTCTACCCTTACTTCCATAAGTTTTGCACGAATCATGTCAATTGAATCAACCACAAGTTTGCTTCTGGCTTCACCAACCAAAGAATTAAATGACTCGGCAGAATTGTTTGTATTATAATGATTCTTTTTCGCAGTAAAGAAAGCACTTCTAGCTCACTTGTAAGGTAAAGCCTGTAAATATGCATGAACTTACAGGGAACTATAGCTCAACTCATTCATAATGCAGAAAAGCTAAAACAACGCAAGTTAATAGCATATACACAAACAACTATGATAGAAGCACTTTAAAAAAATCTGCACAAATTCTTCAAAGCTTAAACATTAAAAGAATTTTTCAGAACAAAATATACATACATACCACTCAATTCCTATGTATTTATATGTCTAACACCAAAACTTCAATTATTACATACATAACACCTTATGCATGAAATGCATGCAAATGCCCCTTGTTGAAAAGAGCAAAACCCATCAATTCAAATTTTTAAATATAAGGTCATCAAATTAAGACTGGGAGAATTCATTGTTGAGCAAAGCTTCCCTTTTCACGCAAAGATACCTCTTTAACAACTAAATTGCTACAGGAAAAAAGTCACCTCAATGAACTTGAAATAGTCTATGAAATTCTAAAGTTGTTCAGTGTCACTCCTTGAATACCTTTGTAAGATTTTGGACATTTCATAAGACATTTGTTTATTATAATTTGTTGAGGAAAAACATCCTCAAGATGTAATGACCACCAAGATCAAATAAAATACATAGCAAACTATTATAGTAATACAAAACAAAATCCTGTGCGCTTTGAACAATTATATGCTCTTAAGGGATATCCCGCCACCACTTAACATACATTAATAACCAATGTATAGGGATATGAGCCATGGGCATTGTTCTCAAACCATTTTGGCAACTGGGTATATTCAAAATATGGTCATATACGGATCATCGAGCTGGTGTATAAGTCAGAGGT